GTTTAGATTGAATGGTAATTTATAATCAGTCACAAGAACGTCGAATCTGAATCACTTGAAAAAAACACGGGGGTGCTTAACTTTTTTCCAGGTGTATACTTCTTTTGATGGACTCATTTCTGTTTGATTCGTTTGCCAATCGAACTTTGTTGTTCACACTGAATGCAAAAAAAAAATCCCCAGTGTGAACAAGCCCTAAATTAATGACAGTTTCTCTCTCTTAACAAAAAACTGCAGATACATTAATGTTGAGAACAGGGTCTAGTGAACGTTTCAACTTTGTATATGACAAGCCTATATTTTACATATTGTATGAATACAAGTACAGTGACGATCAAAGCTATATGCTTATACGATCAACTAGTATGTCTTAATTATAAGTGACCTTCCTATGTTTTCGCTAAAACTACATTAATTATGGTTTCTATAACTTTGTGATAAAAAACTGTTATTCGAACATCTTATTTGATTACGATGACGTCTTTAAGAACACGTTGCTATGCTAGTACAATATATATATATATATACACCCTTAATTTATACTTACAAATAATCTTACAAAGAATAATTAGCTACCAATTATGTTTTCTAGACGTGAGCACAATACTTATAATGATTTTAAATCTTAATTAACAAATCAAAGTATTACTCTTGTATCGGTTTAAAGTTTATTTCTTTTAGCATTATTCAGCGGTAAGTCTTAGGGTTTATAACTCTAAAATACGGGTTTCGATACCATACTAAGATAACTTATTACTTAATTTAGAAGAAGATAATACTTATTCAGAACACCAAGATAAAATAACTTAATGTTTATTTCCAATACCATGCTAAGAGAAGTTACTAGTTGCGGTGTTGAGGTAATATAATACTTACTTTAGATATCATGCTAAGAGAAATTATTACATAAATAATGTATGTATAGTTACCTTTATTACCATGCTAAAACATCTTAATACGTTTCTCGAACCATAATAGAATTTACTAAGAGTGACTTAATGGTTACTTTGGGCGCCAAGTTATAAGAAGTTGGTGCTTTTTTTAATGGAAACCAAATCGCGACAACGTATTGCTGCTACCATTTTCAGAGAAAATAATACTTACCTCAGGCACCATCAGAAAACAGCATACAAATGTGGTGATGAAAAAATTAATCCAAAAAACCCAACGAAGAAACGTAAAATAGGAAGCTACAACGGATCCAAAATGACCTAAAAGAAAATATGAGGTACTCTATTAGCAGTGAAAGCTACATTATAGTACGAACAGTTTTATTACCGCAAATTACATCATATATTTAAGTACTTTATGCTAGTATTACATAATTCAATATAAACGATCACTAGGTTTTACGTATCATATATGGATTTGGTTTCAGGTGCTCTATTAGCAGTGAAAGCTACATTATAGTACGAACAGTTTTATTACCGCAAATTACATCATATATTTAAGTACTTTATGCTATTATTACATAATTCAATATAAACGATCACTAGGTTTTACGTATCATATATGGATTTGGTTTCGAAAGTTACTCGATTTTCAGCAGTCTCACGTTCCTCAAGAGTCATAGCTTAAAAGTTATTTGATTTTTGTAAAGCAAATGGTTAGCTAGAAGCATTTTAAGACTTGAAATAAACGACCTTATAACACCAAATTTGTTATTTTTCTTTCATTGGACACCCAACGTTTCGCTTTACAGCTTCTTCGGTAGCTTTCCGCTAAAACGTAACGGTTACGGTTTGTATTTTAGTGGAACGCTCCTGACGAAGCTGTAAAGCGAAACGTTAAGTGTCCAATTAAAGAAAAATAACACATTTTGTGATATAAGGTCGTTTAATTCTAATATTAAAACACAGCTTGAAATTGTTTAAAAATTGTTACGTTACATTCTTACCCAGCATCAGGCTAAAAATGTTAGATTAAACACTACGCTGGCCTTTTATTTATTATTGTTAGGGTTAAACCTGTCACTACTTTGTCACTTTTACTAAAAATAAAATAGTAATTTTGTACGTATTATACAAATGATTTAAATCATATCATTGTCTGTTTAAATCTATCTTGAGGTTTACGGATTACAAAACAATGAATTTTCCAACGGCATTAATGCTGATTACATTCTACACTAAATAACGTGCCTGTAGCATGGTACATAGTATAGCTCGGTACTACATAAAACTATTTCTGTGTAAGCTTGTTTGTTTGTTCAATTTCACGCAAAGCTACTCGAGGGCTTATCTGTGCTAGCCCTCCCTAAGTTAGAACTGACAGACTATTGTTTACGAACGAAAACTAGGATTGATCGTCACATTATAACACTCCATGGCTAAAAGGGGTAACTATGTTTGGGGACGGGATTCGAACCGAAAATCTGCAAATTGGTAGTCCAGTGCAATAATCACCAGACCATGCATACCAGGTCCTCTTTGTAAGCTTGATGTGTCTTATATTTACCTAATACGCATGATCCACTTTCACGGAAACAGATGTTAACGAAACATCACCAAAATAACTGTTACTTAATAGTCTCGGCTCCAGTTTTTCTTAACAGGGGCATATGAGACATATGATGATGCTAAAACTAAATTTAAATTAATGAACGGCATCAGCTTGAGGGGACAAAGACAATTCAAGGAGACCTGCCCCTTCTCTTCTCCTTCGCCAGCGCTAGCACTGGTGGTTAATCGTCGTGAAACGATTTGATACTTCAAATATAAAATCCTTTACGTAGCCAATTTTATTATATCTTCCAGTGTCGCCACCTATATGTAACTTGGCCAAAGCGATATGTAATAAATATCAGACGGCATAATGACATATTTAAACTGCAAGACCAATCTCCAATTCACATTACAAGATTTTTGAATGCATGACCGTAGTTCTCTAGCTTTCAAACTTCAAACTTTCATATCGAATTTTCTGAAAGCTTTTGCTTTTCATGAATGCTATAAAATTCCATTAACATGTACTGGAATATCCTTTTTAAAATGTGAAAGAGGTTTTAAATTATACGATGTTAAAAGCTAAAAACTGTCGAAACAATAGAACCAGTAAGCCTAATAAAGAAGAATATAGAAAAGAAAAACTTTAGAAATTTAACGTGACTGTTTTTCGTTAATTTAAGGTTTATAGATTTTAGATAAGTAGTCTATAAAACGTTCACTTTAGTTCTTTCTGAATTATTCTCTACGTGAGCGAAAGGTTTTTATTTAGTCTAGAAAACAAAAATCATCTAGTGGAACGCTCGTCATGCATTCAGAAAATGTAATCACTTTAAAACTGTTATTGGCTGCTTAAAACTGTAATTTTCTGATTAAAGTAATCCTTTCATTTAACTATGCAATCTATTGAAATATTGAAAGGTGAATGTACCACTAAGAGTGAACAACTAATAGTTCAAGGTAATAAAATCTCCCGATCAACAATAATTTTAATAAATTGTTGGTAATATTCTAGAAAAACCAATTAGTATTTAGAATTACAATTAATAAACATTTCTTGTAGGCCTGGTATGACATTGTGGTTGGCCCTCGACTCGCGATCTGTGGGTCGTGGGATCTAATTCTATCATTGAATGTGCTCGCTCTTTCAGCTCTGTGGGCGTTACTATGTGGCGATCTATCCCGCTATTCGATTAGACTAGCCCAAGATTTGGCAGTGGAGGGTGTTGACTAGCTGTTTTTACTCTAATATATCACTTCTAAGTTATAGACGAGTAGCGCAGGTAGTCCTCGGTAAGCTTTGCGCGAAATTCAACAAACAATTATTTATTGTGGACTTACTTTCAATTCTCTTGATCCTCATTTCCCAAGGAGTGAGGGTGACAACAAGGTTAGCCAACACCCTTTTGAACCTCTGGAACCACTAGAAATCAAAGAAGGTACATATACAAGGTTTCTTAGTTAAATTTTTTTATTAATTAACCCTTGGGTAATGAAGAAAAACTATAATATGATGATGACAAAACCTTGTCGAAACGTTGTGCATTTGCTGTTATGTTAAACTTATATTAAAGTTTTTTTTCATTACACATTCAAACCGTCTCCAACCATTATTAGTCTCAAAGTGGGTTCCTCGTCATCGAATTTTAATTAACCTAATCAACCTTTTAATTTACTACATAAATATTTAAACAAACGTATCATCAATATTGCATTTGATTCCACTAGCTACTGCTATGCATTTTGCATAGAAAATGCGTGAGTCCACCATATACTTTGGCCAGATCTTTACAAATAGTGTTATGGACCCGCCCGGAAATGAATGGTATAAAAACAAGTCGATAACTTGAGGATAATTATGCAGTATAAGAATAATTTATCATTTATTTTATGACATACACACACACATATATATATATATACATATATATATATATATATATATAACGTCACATACTTTGTTTCATTACTGAAGTGTTTATGTTAGAAGAATTCTAAAATGAATATTTTTTAAACATTAATATGTAAGTAATTTTTAATTAGTATAACCTTTGTTTAATTAACCTTATTTTCAGGTTTATTATTCCTAATTGTAAGGGGCGTGCATCATAATATTCTAAGGGTGTAGTCAGAAATTAGGGATTAGTGTAGGCCACTTGGGGTTCAAAATGTGCATTATGAGTAAGAAATGTTAATAAACAACAGTGTAATAAAAATTCCATTAAAAGTAAAAGTAATAGTTGATATACTCTGATAATTACATGGTCCATGTAGAAATATTTACATCTAATGCCTTTGTTAATATAGAGCTAAATATTGTTTAATGGTTTTTTTCTTTTGCATGAAAAGACTTGTCAAATATTGATACTATGAACTACGCTAAGTTATACAGAGGTTGTGTACGTTATATTAAAACTATTCTAAATATGCAAATCAACACGTCACGGGACAACTACAGCTGGTATAAAGGCATGGCGGAATGGCACGTATGACAAATACGTTTTGACAATGTTTGACGTTACGTAGGTAGTGTGATGCCACCGAAGATTGATAGTTTTTGAGCAAGGTACATAACTGCCTTTTCCGATGCAAAACATGCAAAGACTCATGTCAAATGTGTTCATATCGGTAATTTAGAATTTACAAGACGGGGACATTCTTTTACTTAATGGCATTGAAAAACAAATGAATATGGATCAGTTTGGGGATTAAGACCATCCAGAAAGAGACCTGCAATGAGTCGTACCTCAACCATGGAAAGTAAAGTGAAGCGTTTTGTAATAGATAAAAATCAACAAATTCATTGGCAAAAGCCATTCACTCGTCCAAAACAAAAGTATGCATCATAATCAAAATGGCTGTCTGACTGGAAAAGTTACATGAATCACGTGTACACAAGCGGCTTCCATGACATATACATTCAGCTTTCGCATACCTCAGCAGGAGGAGAAGGAAACGGGTATTCATGCTATCCCATATTAAGGTATACTGAATTAAATCGCCTGACGCAACAAGCTCGCGTGTGTTTTTCATAGCAAAATCACATCGGGCTATCTGCTGTATTTACTGAGGGAAATCGAACTCCTGATTTTATTGTTGTAAATCCGTAGACTTACCGTAGTCCCACCGGGGGACAGACGCAACGCCTGTAGATTGCTGTGCAAAGAAACTGTTGAAAAACGCTGGGAATCATCATTCTGATATACTGGATGGCTTATGGAAAGTTGCAGGGACGATGAGGATGTTTTGAACGTGACAAAATTACGATGGAGTCTTTTGCTATGGAAAATGAGCTGTAGGGCTATTGTCAAGATGCACGGTCGTCAGATAAAGATTGGCCGGATGTGGTAAGGTTCCAAAATCGTTTTAATATAACGTATTTAACCTTTCCTTTGTAGATTTAACTTGGTGCTATTCTGATTTTAATCATTTTAAGTTGTTATTATATGAGCATACTATCAAATCATAATTTTCATAATATTTTCTAACAACTTTTGATAAATTGTTGTGATAATTGTTAGTCATTTAACTTATTATTGTAAAAAAGAAAACAAATATTAAGCCTTTCCTTAGCAGATTAATCTTTACAGAATCTGATTCACAGATCATGAATGCCATGAGTAAAAGCATAAATTGAAAAACATACCGTAAATTCAATAATAATCTGCTTTGATTAAAACATATCATAAAAGTTGGAGCTAAATGTACTGAATTCAAACTTAAAAATGAATACCAAATTGTTAACACCAACTATATTAACAACTTTTCTTATCTCTTTATGATTCAGTTGAATTACATTCATTAGAAATTTTACATATATGAAAATTGGGTTTTTAATTAGAGGTTTTGTACTTCCACATGAATATATTATCAAGTATTAAATTTTATTTATTATTATTATTATAAATAAATATATATATATATATATAGAGAGAGAGAGAGAGAGAAATACAATTTATTAATACTTGTTTTTCTCACCTTATTCATCAAAACTTTGTACTTAGCCAAGATGTCTTTGGATCGCTTGCTGTGAACAAGTTCGCCCTCGTGTTTATTCACGTAGGATTTTGCGCGTCTGTAAAGGAACAATATTAAAGTGTGAAATTTTGAAATACAAAATATTCTGTTTTATATTTCAGATGAAAGAGTATCATATTTTTGTCGTATCGAACGTCGTGCATCGACCAACGGATTTCCTGTGTTGCTATTTAATGGAAAAATCACGAACGATGGAGAATCGTTTTAACTTCTCCAACCAGCTTACCGAGGCGTAACTCTACAGAACAAGCAAGCAAATAAACAGATGTTATTGTTTATTATTAAGCATAAAGCTACACAAGGGGCTATCTATGCTCTGCCCACCAAGATTATCGAAACCCGGTTTCTAGCAGTATAAGCCCGCGGATATACTGCTGTGCCACTGAGGGTTATAAGCAGATGTTAAAACAAACAAAACTATAAAAATGAGAGCATAATTGCATACCCAAAAATTTGTTAAACAATTTTTTTTACCTAAAAATCAATTTTTGTTGTTAATAAAAAAAAGCTACATAATGGGCTATTTTGTTCTCTGTCCACCGCGAGGAGTCGAACGCCGGATTATAGCTTTGTAAGTCCGTAAACTTACCACTGATCCAGTGGGTGACAATAGTAATTTCAACTATTTCTTTATGTTTTCACTATTATTTCAATATAGCTACATTTGTTTGTTAGTTATGTTAAAAATGATTCCGCTATTAATTATTCATTTATTTACTTTTATAGAATATCACAATTTTAATAGTGAGCGAGATATAAGTTACTGATATCCAGGTAATTATTAGCTTTAGCTTAACAATTCATTTAAATATAATATAATTTTAATAGTGAGTGAGATATAAGTTACTGATATACAGGTAATTATTAGAGTTAACTTCAGTTATATCTCAGAATTTTTCATCTTACGCTGTATCTGCTGTTTGCAAACTGTTCGAAAGCGTGAAATCTGACCTTTTTGAGCTTAGTTATTTTCACCGTTTTACGTATTGCACAAAAAGTTCTTATAGGTCTCGACAAATACACGAAAACGTTGTATTTGGTATGAAATCCCGTTTTTTCTATAATACACAGGAATTTTATCAAAGTAATTAATTTAGACAGTTTTAGATGTACTCGTAGGAAGTAACTGTATAGTACAAATATTTATACATTCTTCTACAAAACAGAACATTGTGAATATAGCTTCATGACGTTTTACGCTCATGTAACGTTCAGCCTTACAGATGATTAGACTTGTTCTTTTGTATAAGTATATATGACTAATTAGCGTTGAATGGAAATATACTTAGGATAAGATTACGTGTTATTTCACAATCAGCATTATTTTCATTTATTGGTATGCATGCCTATAGCAAGACCAATTAAATTAAGTAATTAACGTAACTATCAGTTGAAACATTTATTTTCAACTGGAATATCTATCGTGTTGCACATAACCTTGAGAAACGTCTCGCTATTTTATATGTTTACTCTTAAAATGTTCTCTAACTAGTATACATTATTGTTAACGTTTTGTACTCGGAATGTGACCGTGAGTGCAAGGTTAGGTTGTCTTAGTAACGGCGAGGATTGTCTGTTTTTGAATTTCGCGCAAAGCTAGTTACACGAGGGCTATCTGCGCTAACCGTCCCTAATTTAGTAGTGAAAAACTAGATGGAAGGCTGCTAGTCATCACCACCCACTGCCAACTCTTGGGCTACTCTTTTACCAACGAATAGTGGGATTGACCGTCACATTATAACGCCCCCACGGCTGCAAGGACAAGCATGTTTGGTGTGACGGGGATTCGAACTCGCGACCCTCAGATTGCGAGTCGAGCAGTGGTGTAGCAAGAGGGGGCAAGGGGGCAGTAGCCCCCGGGCGCAGGTGTGAACGGGCGCAAATTTTCTTCTGGCCTATAATGCCTATTAATTAATAATTATGCCCTCCCCTAGGATATAGCGCAATTGCCCTACGTTAAGTAAATACAACACAGTGTTACGTTATTTGTGTGTATTACGCTTGCAGTTTTAAAAGCCGCCCACTAAAATACAATGAGACCGAATTGACGTACAGAAGTAAATTACATTATTCGTCTGTAGATCAAATACAAGTCCTAGAGTACAACGTACAAGTAAGTGTATGTTCAACAAAAAGAAAATATGAGATTGATGTAAAATATTAACTGGTGTGCAAGATTGGCAATATATGCAACAGGCAAGGCCTAGATCTAGTAAACATTATAGGCCTAATGTAGTGGTTTGTAACTGTATTGGCTGATTGTAAATCATGTCTTACACCAACTAATGTACTAGACTTTAGGTCTAATTGCAGTTATAACTATTTCTAGACCCTAGGTCCATCACCATACAAATTGTAGCCTATATTATAGGCATACTTAGACCTATACTAACTATTAAACTAGGCATAACACTAGGACAAATCTAATAGCTAAGTTAATAGATCTAGATGTAACATTTGTTCCAGAAGTTAGGCCTACTAAATCTAAATCTAGAATTGATGAGGCAGGGTTATATCTAGATCTGGGTAGATTCAAATACAAGGTGCTTTCAATCTATGCACCCAAATCTAAGGTCTAGTTTAGATCTATAAAGCTAAATTTCTATCATTATTATTACATCTAGGTTCAAATCAAAGACTAAAAAAGATGGAAATAACAGGTCTAACATTAATGTTAGATCTAGATGAATTAGCGACTTAATCTAGGAACTGTTATCTAACACCACTAATTAGTTTTAATTTAAGTTTTCTCATTCTATCAAAACCTTTAACATTAAATATAGCCTATAGGCTTATATTATGTTATGATTACACCATTCTCCACAGTGTGTGAAATTTTCATTCAAGCAATTTCAGACTTGTCTCCTGTAGTGTTCGTGTAGTTAAACATATCCAGTTTTTAAATGTGATTTAGCAACTGGCAGTAATTTATATGGTGCTCATAAGCATGATTTACTAGCATATACACTCATCTGCATCGATTTTCTTACTGTTGTGTCACATTAATTAACACGAGTGTGGGTGGTCTAAAAATGGAAATTAAAGTGAAACCAGGTCCAGATGTGCCTAACTAGTCCTAAGTTGCAACTATAATTGTATAATTTAAATATAATTTGTGGTTAGGAACTTAGGAAAGT